CAATCTCAGGATATTCTTACAATCTAGATACTTACAATCAATCTTACAATAAACCTTCACGCACCCACCCAGGAGAAATTCATTCAAGTGTTTGAGAAGGCATCTTTGAAAATGCCTCCTGCCAATCTCACCACTGCTCTGCCAAGCAAGGTGTGAGATTTTATGTCTAGTTTCTGTGCTGCTTTGCAGGAAACGAATGAGCAAAAAATAATCATAAGCTTCTATGACAGAATTACGGCCATAGAAGAGCAATATCTGAGCTAATATCCTGGGAAATAGTATATTACACGCAATAAAGCTGGCCCATTTCATATCCTCATTATGGAAAAAGCCATTGAGAGTCAATTGAATCTTCAGAAGTGATGAAGTTAGTATAGTGGATAGCGCTCACAGACCCACGCACAGGAGAAATTGAACACAATGGCCCATTTTATGTCAAGTCATCCAAACAGGGAAACATATCATTGTTTTTAGCGTTCAGTGCATCTTCCTGCTAGCTTCTGAAATATGAAGACATTAAGATCTCATTCAGATTTGTCTGTGGGCTTGTCAGTGTGGATGTGTGTGCTAAGATTTGTGGGTTCACTATATATAGGCAGTGCTTTTTAAAAAAAAAAAGCAAAAACACCATGGACTTGAAGGAAAGTTTATTTTAATTTAAATTATAGATCTGTAAATCTGTTTTGACCACTACTAAGCAATGTCCATACTTTTTCCTATTATAATCACTACCTGTTTGACAACATGTTTTTTAGACAAATCAAAAACTAAGGAACAAAAAACCTGCCAATTGAAGGACCTGTAATGCCTAATCAATTCTACTTATTTTTAATTAAACCAGGTACAATTACCTTGTTTATACTGGAATCCTTATTATAATCTTTTTTACTAATGCATCATCACTAAAAAGGCTCACTAAAGCCATGGATTAAGCACAGTGGAACTAGATTTGATTGTGATTAAAGGCTTTCTTTCATTTTTTAATTACAAAACCACTCTGGATGAAAAAACATCAAAAGCTTTGTTGCAAAAAAAAATTAAAAAGATAAGCCGTTATAATTCAGGTATTTGGCTTAAGAAGTTACCAATATGGTTAGGGCACTGAAGTGCAATTTTTTTTGCTCTTGTTATTTGGATTCTCTTGAGGTGTCTACATGCCAATTGTGCAGAGTTGTGGTTAGAAAGAAAGCAATTGTCAAGTGGTGTCACGAAGCCCACTGATAAGGTATTGTTAATTTTTTAGCCCTTTATTTAATAAGAAAAGCCCATTGAGAACCTGGAGGGTACATATTTATACAGCAGGGCATTTTCCTGGAGCTCTTTGAGAGAAGTACCTTGCTCAAGGGTTCAACAGCAGTGTCCCACCCCAAATTTGAACCTACAACTCTCTGGGCTCCATCTTGATTCTTTACATTTGTAGGTCTGTGTCAAGCTAAGAGGTTCTGCTCCAGGGTAAAAAAAAATCTAATTAGGCTGACAACTATTTGCTCTGGAGCACCTTTTGCTCTGCAAGACAAGCAGAGGTGGTTGGAAATGAACACCATTCTGCTGAATGGCACAATTCAACAAAATCCCCTAAATAAAGATGAAGGGAAGATTTGGGATGGATGGGAAGGCCAAAGGCACTTCATTTGTATGTGAACTGCAGCTTTTACAGTAGAGATTGGGGTAAACGTGAAGGATAAAAAGCTTTGGTACTGGTAAATGGTACTTGCTAACGAAGGAATACACTGTTGAAGGTGGCATGTGTGTGTGTGTCTGGAAGTCACTGAACAGATTGCTGTAATTGCGAACAGGGCTGCATGAAATGGTTTTGAAGGCTCCATATTGCCTGACTGGGATAGAATGACAGCGACAGAGTCAGAACATATTCATCTTCTGGATTCCTGGGGAGAATTTAATGTATACTCATGGCAGAACAGCAGGGAGCCTGTGCCAATAGCATCAGCCTCAGGGCACCACAACGCAGATTCTTCAAGCTCAAGTTAATAAGGCAGTAGAATCATGCAGACTTATATTGGGGGAAGACTTATACTGCAAGGCTCTAAGAAATTAATTGGAGGATGCATCCTAATTGTTTTCTTTTATTAACGACGATTATAGTTACAAGGAATCAACTGCGGTTTCCAGCACTCCATTGTAAAAAATCAGTTGACTGGCTGTGATGAAAGTGCATCATCTAATCTCTATGTTTCTACAGCATCAGTCTCCGTGAAATCTCAATTTTATGTGGTCCCTTAAAAATCTAGCTCAGAAAAATAAGAATTAATATGAGAACAGAAGGGTATTGATGAAAGCAAAGGCAACAATTTGTCACACTGTGCAATATAGTAACCTTTGAATCGCCTGGCAATTTATTGAATATTTATTTAATTATTCACAAAAATAGCATTTATTTGAATGACACTTTTATCCAAAATAACTAACATTTGTAGCCATTTATAACGGAGTTTTGATTTCCAAAGGTACATTTTGTGTAACATCTAAAAGCAATTTATCACATATGAATTCATAAAGCATATGTTTTCAAACAAATGTTTAATTCATTTTGGTTCTGTTTAATAAAACATTAGTCACCTGGTGATGCTGCTGGCTTGCCGACACCCCCCATTTGTGTCAGTGTTCAATGTCTTATCCATCTGCTTCTTGATATTTCTGTGCTCTAGATGATAATAATAATTCCTTACACTTATACAGTATAGCGCTTTTCTGAACACTCCACTCCAAGCACTTTCCAGGTAATGGGGATACCCTCCACCACCACCAATGTGGAGCATCCACCTGGATGATGCGATGGGAGCCATAGTGCACACACCTGCAATCAGTGGAGAGGAGAAGAGAGTGATAAAGCCAATTCAGAGATGGGGATTATAAGGAGGCCATGATTAGTTAAGGCCAAGGGGGAATTTGGCCAGGACGCCAGGGTAACACACCTACACTTTTCAGGCAGCACCCTGGGATTTTTAATGACCACAGACAGTTAAGACCTCGGTTTTACGTCTCATCCGTGGGACGGCGCCTTTTTACAGTGTAGGGTCTCTGTCACTATACTGGGGCATTAGGACCCACACGGACCTCAGGGTGAGCGCCCCCTTATGACCCCTCTAATACCTCTTCCAGCAGCAACTTTAGTGTTTCCCAGGAGGTCTCCCATCCAGGTATTGACCAGGCTCACACCTGCTGAGCTTCAGTGAGTTGCCAGTTGTGAGTTGCAGGGTGATATAGCTGCTGGCAATATACTGTAGATCACGTCCTTCAGGAAGTGCAGGCAGTGTTTTCATCATGTCTTCGAGGGGACAGAACCCCGTTTCAGCACTCTGCATCTGCTGAATTGTGGAGGCTGTCTAGGTGTGAGCCTTCCACTCTTAGTTAGCCTAGTGGAGCCATTGTGCTATACAGTGCCTCTGTCTACACCATGGGACTCCTACAATCTGTTCGTTTGGTATGGACTTCTCCTTTCATATTTGTCCATATCTACAGGCAGAATACTGGAACACGGTTACAAACAAGAAGAGGCCATTCGGCCAATCTGGGCTATTTTGTAATACATCATTTGTTTATCCAAGGATGACATATAGTTTTTCTATATTAGAAGCCAGAGTATCTGGTTCAACAACATTACTGGATAGTTTGGATCAGACTCCCACAGTCCTTTGGGTGAAGGTGTTTTCTCCTGTTCTCAGTTTTAAAATGCACTTTCAGGCAGTTACCACTTGTGTGCTCCGGTTTGTGTTTCACTGTTTTTTGTCTGATGAAGTCCACTGTTTGAGTACTTGGATCAGGTCCCCTCATGGTCATCTCGGTTCAAGACTAAGGTTCAGTTCTTCCAGCCTGTCAGTGTAGGACATCCCTTCAAGTCCTGAAATTAGATCAGTTATTATCATAACCCTGTTTCCATGAAAATATATACTGTATACTTGTTACCCTTCTGGGCTCCTTCACAGCTCGCAGAAAATAGTGAAGCTTGAAACTTGAAGGGTAATGACTGTGATAAGCTGATACTGTACATCAGCCAAGCCTTGAAAGAGAAGAAGGGGCAGGGATGGCTGACATGGCAGAGTCTGATTGGATAACTTGGCTCTATGTACTCAGCACAGTGGTGGTAACAAAGACACATCTGTAGCGTAGTAATGACAGCATTTTTTTCAGGGAACTGTTGTTATGATGACGTCTATAATCTAGTGTTTTCGTTGTGACATCTCCACCTGAGTCTCAGTCTGCATCCATGTAAAGGCGTGTTTTAGTATTTATTAAAGTGATTTGTGTCTGCACTACTTGGTTTGTGCTTAGAAGTTTTATTAAATGTTTAGGACAAACAATAGCAACCATACAGCACCATAACAAAACCTTGAAGCCCAACATATTGCATCGGTATCTGTAAAGGAATTAAAAAAACTAAATTTGCAGCAAGTGTTATGATTGGTATTCACTAGATGTAATATCCTATGCTCTTCTGCACCTTTTCCACATTCTGAAGAGAACTTGTATATGAAGGAGATACTGTACTATGTGATCCACAGGCTGGACTTCTGAAAGTCTAGTTTGCACATTGTAGTATCATAGGAAGCATGTTGATGACATAAAATGAATGAGGCTGCCCTTTGTATTTGATTAGAGTGAGTGCTCCATCTTCCAACAAAACACTGCTTGATTAAAATACAGTAGCTTGTGTTGTCAAATCATAGCAGAGAAAAGAGCAATGACAACAAGTTAAAGTAAAACACAGAATATCAAATGCTGCTTGAGAATTGTTTTTAAAAAGAAGTCCAATTAAACAAACAACAAAACAAAAGCTTTTCTTTTCAAATAATTTTTTGACCAAATTTGTTATTGCTTCAGACCACAGTCATGAAAAAGCCATCTGACTATGGCCATTTAAAGGGAAGCTTTATCTCAGTTTCCCCTAATGCATAATCATGTATGATTATTATTTTCCACTGAAATTTTGGTCAGTTAATTTATAGCCCATAAAAGTGTCTCCTGGGAACATGTGGCAAAGGCCAGTCAGAGTCAGGATGAATTCGCTTGGTACTTTTCCCATGGATTAATGGGAGTGTTGTTTTGCAGGTGATGGCAAAGAGTTGCCTTATATCCACATCAAAAAATGTTTCTAGGACTTTGTAAATGTGTTGTTGTGGATTGAGCATTGTTGTGAACTGTGTAGGCTGATGAGAAACAGTGTAAATTAGTTCAGCTAATCGAGTGTATAGGCCTCATGGGAAAACTATTACTGAAGGAAATGACTTGGAACACCTAGAGCTTCATCCAATAATACTTATAGCAGACTGCTTTTGCAGAGGCAGAAAAAGCCTTACTGGGAACAGAGGACCATTCATAATTGCAACCAGCTGGCTCAAAACAAGACTCTTCAAGGATATTTCTCAAGCTTATGGTTCTGATTTTGACAGATGTCTCCATGCAAGCATCCTACCTTGAGAGTATAATTGAAATGCTGGTTGTGGAAACATCAACTCCCTGTTTTTGAACTTTTCAGAGAGACAAAATGCAACAGTGAGGTCAGACCTCAATGAGCTTGGTTTTGGGAGATCACAAGAAATGAAGCCTTCTTCAGAGTCTTCCAGGTATTCTTGTGCAACTTGCTTTGTAATGTGAACTGGTATTTTGTTCCCCTGTAAGTGAGGCCAATGACCAGCGTTCGAACATGTGACCTTTACCGGTCTCATGTGTTTACTGCACTGTTGATGCCGTTTGTGTGTGTTTGCTCAGACTGACAGAACATAATTAAGATTCCAAGCATAAACAGAGCTCTGGGGTGGGACTCTGCTTGTCTCCAGAGATGCAGACAGAGCTAGGGGACAGATGAGGTTAAGGAGGAGCCTGAAAGTAGTCCAAGAAAAACAAAAAAGAATGTTGCAATAGATGCTAAAACGATAAAAATTGAATCAATAAGAACTGAATCAAGTTGTTAAATAAGCATCAAAATGGCCACAAGCCTCCGGAAAGTATTACTTCTATATTAAATAGCATTAGTGCCAAAGAGGCAGAAGTCTTACAGGTTCTAGAAACAATTAAGATAAACAAGTCTATAGGGCCTCAAGGTATTTACTAATTGTACTTAGAAAAATTAGGGATTTTATTAATAGACCATTAAGAAAACACTTTTAATGTCACTGAAGACAGGGCATGATACCCATTAACTGGAAGATTGCTTTTGTGGCACCCTTATTCCCAAAGGGTGGCAGAACTGAAACAACTAATTACAGATTTATAAGCCCTATGCTAGTACATGTAAAGTTATAGAGACAGTAATTATAACTAAACTACATGATAATCTGTATTGTTATAGGATTTTAGAAGAGTGGTCTACATGGACCAGAAATTCTCCATTATTTAGAATAATTAAAATAATAGCCAGGACAAAAAGCACTATGGAGACTGAATGCTAATGAAGACAAACTGTATGTGTGTCAGACTACTATACCGATGGCCACTTATTTTGGGTCATTATATGCTAAAATCTGTCCACATTACCACCAAGACATTGAATGTGTTTTGCTTTATACACAGTTTGCTTCAGATGTGTTGCATATTGGGGAAGAATGAACAAAGTGAGTCTTTTCTTTTCTTACTTTAATAAAAAAAAATGGAATTCAGTTCTGTGGTGATGAAGATACCCAATTGGGGAGAGAGATTTGGAATCAATTTGGAAGGTGAATTTATAGGCAAAAAAATAAACCGTGATAATCTATTTCTCGATTTCGTGTTTCAAAAGAATGGATACTGATAAACTCTTTTCTTCCTGTTATCAGAACCAGTTATTGTCTTGGGCCCCTCAGCACTGTTGAATTACTCTTTTACATACCAGTCCCAATGCTGACACAAAAGCAAATTAACTTCAGTAATAATGAGTGACAGTATTGCAGCTCACCTGCTCAGAGAGAGACGGACAGTATCTTAATAACTGCTCAACATGCTAGCAGGGACCACTAATCATCGCTTATCTGGGATTTCAAGGACACTGTCTATTATTCAGTAATTCCAGAGAGACGATCACAATTGTTATTTTAAACAGTGGCAGTGGCCGTCATTTTGATCAGATTCCTCTCTGGTAAAATAAATGGATATGGAGAGGATTATAAATTCTGTCTGGTGCTGTCATGTGTGAAAAATAATGCAGATGGCTAATTAAACATACAGATGCAAAACACTGATTATGGAAAAGGCAGTGTAGTGATAAGCATTTAAAGGATGCGTTTGTAAAACACTGGCAAAAGTATCTTGAAGACCTTCAAAAGAATGTTACCATGAAAGTCACGCAGACAGAAATCCTTGTAAACCCCATCAAACGTCAAACAAATCACAGGAAAAAATCCTCTGAGAGCTCTCAGCGTTCTTCAGGATGGAGCTCTGTTGAGCCCAGACAATCAGTCTCATCTTCAAACTGACAGCCTTTCTTCTGCACCGCATTTTAATGCGAAGTAATTTCTAGCCACTTAGTCATTTTTAGGCGAGGGAAAGGAAGACTGTCAGATGTGTATAATAGCTCTCTTTACAAACCTTCAGATTATTGTATTTTCCGGCCCTGCGTATAAAATTCGCCTGCTCGTTTTTCCACTCTTTTTCCGATTTGGAAATCGCATTTTGGCCTGTTCGCTTTGCAGGCTGAATCTGTAGAAAGTCGGTATGGAGGTCAAGGAGCTTCTCCTGGTTCTCCGTGTTGCTTTGCATGCGGTAGAGAAAAGAGAGCAGGGAGTAGCTGATTCAGTAAATATCGATGGCAGGAGAGAGAGAGTAATGATCCCTGAACAGTAAGGACTGTTGAGGTCCAGGATACTCCTGGATATAGCAAGTTCACAAAGGTGGTAGCATTAGATTCATCAGTCTCCACTCTGAATGCTTTTGAAACACGTGATCGAGGAATCAGAGATTGATTATCACAGTTTATTTATTTTTCCTATGAATCTACCTATTGATCCTCAGATTCTCTCCCCGATGGGTATCATCATCATCTCAGAACTGTATTCCATTTTGTTTGATGTCTTTTAGGATAAAGTAGATCGGAGGTGGTGGTTTTATCACAGTTTGCGGTTACACATCCTGGTTCCCTGTGGGCACAGTTTTGTTAATGAAAGCTAGATCTTTCGTTTGGCTGCTAATTGAAGGTCTATCTTATAACTAAACATTAATTATCGTTATCTTTATCTCTAACATTTCCTTGCATGATTATTTTCACATCCTATATCGCATTTGCTTTATTTTACACCCTTGAGTGTAATCGACCATAATTTTAATAAATATACAGAAGTTCCTGTTTTCATCCCATTCTGAGCACTATCACGCCAGTCTACCTTTAAACAAACTCTGAACATTGCTTCTCATCTGGCTCACACTGCCTGTTTGTGAGTCGCAGAACACACAATTTATCGGTGACTCCAAAGTGGATGTAACAAAAATTGCAGTTGATTTAAAGAGGAAATTGTTATAGATTTATTCAGGACAACTGAGAATGCACCCTTGATTTTTTTAGTGTTTTATGTGTTACTGTCACCACTTGCATCTGGAGGAAGTGTTATTAGATTAAGAATCTTACACAATATGACTCATCTTGTACTTTTAACAACCATGATGCATCGCCTCAGAGACTAAAGTGTGCTGCAGATGCTAAAACAAACGTACTGCTGCAATAAATCTTAGTTCTAGCTAAGATTGCCTGTATTACAGCACAAACTATAACACACAAAAAGACATTGAATCTGAGGAAAAAAAGAAAATGAGCATCCAATTGAATCCCTGTGCACCTCATCTAAACATTTCGTGCTGTTTCTCTTACAGACATACTAACCCGTGAGATCATGTGCAAAGAGTTGGAATCAAGAAGAAAATAAAAAGATAGACCACCTACCCACCTCTGGATCCTTCACCCACAGACATCCGCTTGTGCATCTACAAGACATCCCAGCTTCCTGCAGAGGCATGGAGGAGGGCCAGGACCTGACCTATCTAAATGGTAGCAAGGCTTGGTGGAGGGACCTGTTGTGGAATGAATCCAGGCCATGCAGCAACTCAGTGGGGGGAACCACCTTCCTCATTGTGGCCTACAGCACGGTCATTGCCGTAGGGCTGATTGGCAACACCTGCCTGGTGTTCGTCATCTCACGACAGAAGGAGATGAGGAACGTCACCAACATTTTCATTGCTAACCTCTCCTGCTCCGACATACTAGTGTGCATCGTGTGCCTGCCTGTCACGGCTATCTACACCCTGATGGACCACTGGATCTTCGGGGAGGCCCTGTGCAAGGTCACACCTTTTATCCAGTGCATGTCAGTCACTGTCTCTATCCTCTCTCTGGTCCTGATCGCACTGGAGCGGCATCAGCTCATCATTCACCCCACAGGCTGGAAACCGGTGGTGGGGCACTCCTATCTAGCGGTGGCTGTCACCTGGATGGTGGCCTGCTTCATCTCCCTGCCCTTCCTAGCCTTCAGTGTCCTCACCAACCATCCCTTCCAAAACCTCAGCCTGCCCTTCAACCCCTTTGCTGACCAAGTTGTCTGTATGGAGCGCTGGCCCACAGAGAGCCAGCGCCTGGCCTACACTACCTCCCTCCTTCTCTTTCAGTACTGCCTCCCCCTCTTCCTGATCCTCATCTGCTACCTGCGCATTTTCCTGCGGCTCCGGCGGAGGAGGGAGATGGTGGAGCGCACGCGGGAGGCCAGGCGCAAGAAGGATAAAAACATCCAGAGGGTCAATGGGATGCTGGCCGCCATCGTGGCCGCTTTCGCCCTCTGCTGGCTGCCTCTCAACGTCTTCAACACGCTGTTCGACTGGAACCACGATGCCATCCCTGCCTGCCACAACGCCATCTTCTCTGCCTGCCACCTCATAGCCATGGCATCGACTTGTGTCAATCCCATAATCTATGGTTTCCTGAACAGCAACTTCCAGAAGGAGCTGAAGGCCTCGCTGTACCGCTGCCGCTGTGGTGGTGCGCCGGAGAGCTATGAGAGCTTCCCACTCTCCACTGTCAGCACTGATGCTACCAAGATGTCCTCCCTTCGCAACGGCTCTCTCAGCATCACCACCTAGCAGTGCCCTTTGGTACAAGGAGAGAGCAGCTCAGACAGAAAGAGGTTGCCGGGGGTTACAGAGGGCCCGTGTCAGCAGATTGGCTGTCATTCAGGACTATGGTCAAGTCAGTGGTGCTAAACTGTGGACCCCAAAGTGCTGAAGTTTTTTTAATGGGATTATGAATTCAGCCATGGCTTACGACCTAAAATAGATACTGTACATCACTTAGACTAAGTTGTGTGTTCTTCAGAACTGAGAAGGAATGCAAAGAAGGAGATCCAGTAGCTCTGGAGGACTGGAATATTGCACCCCATTCATAAACCTTCTCAACAAGTGGATATCCTAGTTTTTCCCAATGCAGGACTTTGTGTTATCTTTAACTGAACTGATTATAACTCTGTAAAAGTAGTGAAGTTAGTCCTTGTTAGTCCAGCAGCTGAGTAGTTAAAAAAAATCTATTATGTAGCTTAATCCTTGTCTTTGAATTTTGGGATCAAACTCACCTCTGTTTCAGTTTTATTTATTATGATGTATTTTCTGGTAAATATAGCTTTCTCTTTGGATTTCTCTGAAATGTCCTTTATGGAGTGAAACGTTTATTTTGCAGAACAGGGTCTTTCGTTTTCATACACATTCCAAGCATTAGGGTGTTAAGTAGTGGTATCCATTAGATTAGTGGATAAAGAATTAAAACTTAAAATAATGACAGTCCGCTACGCAAAGGTGGTGTTGTATTTAAATAAATAGAAAACTCCATTAATCCAAACCATCATTTACAGCTCTTCTGATGATAGCATAGATTAGATCTCTGGATATAGAATGATTTTACAGAGAATATCTCTCAAAGAAATTTGAATATTTTGAAAAATTACTCATGAACCAAAGCAGTAGCTGCGTGCCATTGCCAGCACTTTAAGCCTCCTGAAGGAGAGGTACTGAAAAGAATTTCAGCCAAATTTCAAGTCATGTTCTTTATATCAAAAGATACTTTCAAAGATGCCTATATTGCGTTTTTTGCTGCGATTTTAACCAAGAAGAGAAAATGTGTTTTGTGTTCTTAACACATTTCTGCCGGAGATACAAAACCCAGGGCATTAACATTCAACTCAATGAAACTCCTGCATGCTTTTCAAATAGCCTCAGAAGAACTTTATTCTTATAGCCTTGTTTCAGAATCCACCAGGTAGATTGTGCCATTGGATTAAAGAGAGAACAGGTCTATGAGCTGACACATTGATTTAATCTCTCTAAAAAGTGATTTGGATTGTTAGAATCAATGGCAAAACTAAAGGTATAAACTATCTGCAAGCCTGTCCCTATTGCTAAATGTTTAAAGCAGGAAACAGGATGTGTCTGTTGTTTGTTGTTCTTGTATGGAAACAAATGGACTGTACAACTGTTGCGATATGTAGAAGGGGCACGAGCGGTTTTAGTTACCTATTGCCAGTAGCTGCATTGACCTACACTTTTGCCATTGTAGTGTGCTTCAAACACCCACTTCAGTGACGTGTACACGTCTAAGCTTTGCACAGCGTTAATATTCCAAGGTATTCATATTATTGATGGGTAACCAGGCCTATAAACTGTATAAGGCCTGTATTTGTCAAGACATGTGTAATTATTCAGGCATGTGCTTAGGGTTATCTTGTTTGAAAGCCTATGTTGTTCCTCCTATACCGTTTGTACTATTTACACATAGTTTCTGGCATTATCAGAGGGTGACATTCATTTTCAGAAAATAAATGCAGCAAAGTCTAGTCCATTTTTGTTTGTGATGAACACAGCATTGTCACGTTAGATTATATGTTCGTCTTTCTGTGAATTCCTTCAAAGTGCATTTTCACTTTTTTGCATTTCCTAGAAAAAATCCCAGTGGATTCAGCTTTTAATTTTCCCTGAAGAAAAACTACCCATACAAACAAATTCCATTAAAACTGGGATATAGACTCTCTAAAGACAATAATTGTTTGATAATGTTCTAACTGTTTTGAAAAGAAGTTTTGTTTTGTATTGTCAAATGCTTCAACTTGTACGATTGCGTTGTTTATTTCTATAAATGTTGCACTTAAATATATATGTAGTCCACTTAAAAACATTGTGTTTGTTGTGTTTTGTTAACGGTTTTAGTCTAATAATGTTTGTTATAGTATGGATGTTTTTCTTTTTTTAAATGTGTAGGTAGATCTGGCCTGTTAAAATTAGGAATAAGTAAAGGTTTATTCTATGCTGAAAACAGAAAAAAGAAACACAACATTTCGGCTGTGGAGCCTTCTTCAGGTGTGTCACATTAATATATTACATTAATATATTCAGTGTCTAGATACTGTAAACATCTCTTGCTATTTCAATGTTTGAAGTTAAACCCATCTGGGCCAAACCAGCTTAAATTTCCCTTCCCAGCCAAATCCTTTATCCTTCTGAGTTTAATTTTCACAGGGATTTCTTTTGAGTTTTTTTGAGGGGTGTGACAGTCAGAGGTTTTTGAATTGTGCTTTTTTTAGTCAAGATCATTTTATCTCTTGAGTTGCTAATACTCATAAATATTATATATGCTTCTGTGACTCTCTCTTATTGATATTGTACTGTTGGTATAATTGAATAGCAAGTCATACCACACTTATAAAATTGTAATGTGTTATTTAATGAGACCTGCAGTTTTCCATTTGACCTCTTCAGTCCTGTTTGCCTAATTAATTATGTTACTGGTAAACAACTTTTTCATGATAAGACAATATTTAATTTTTTAACCTCTATGTTTAAGCTTTGACAACAATTTTCCGCAAAAGAATAAAAACATTTAAGTGATTTGTATATTGTTCCCTGAAGATACCACACTTACAGAAATACCCATTTATTATCATGCTTTATTATTCACTCTGTAGTCCTTTATATCATTTGCATGTGCAAGTTTCTGATTTCCATTTCCATCTTAGATATTTGACCATGTAAGCTATTTCCACAGGATTAACTTTTGAAGTTAAAAAACTTTGGAACGTTGCTTATCTTGAAGACTGCCAGGGAGAAAAAAATTTTTGTGCTAGTGCGTCAAAGCCTATCAATCTGAGTACTTCCAAAAATCATTACCTTTCTGTCAGCATTTAGATCTTTTTAAGCAAGAAAAATGTACAGGTGTTGATCACTGAAGTGGATGATGAAAATTTAAGCAGCCACAGAAACAGGGAGCCACTAAGACTCAGCAGAGTATCCTAATAAAACGAAAAGGCAGGTGATGTGAGATCTCCGTTAGAGGCACATGCAGAGAAGATGAAAGATTGTCTCAATTAGATCATATGAAACTGACATCACAATGTTTAAGTGGAAAATATTAAGTGTAATATATCACTGTATTCAACTTGAGAGGGAGCAATGGGAGAAGCATAAAACCAAAACATGGATATGGATGTGGTCAGGGTCTTCTGCATATTTGACACCAAGCTGACACAAGGTGTAATTAGTTATTTATCCGCAAGATTGTAAGAGGGGGTATTTACACTGGTTCACAGTTCTGAGATACTTGGGAGAATAGTATCCTTCTGGTATACCACAATTCAATAATTTGTTCTGAGTGAATTTCCATCTTGGTACAGATCCTTAAGGATTTAGTTCATACTCCAGGAAGAACTAGGACAGACATTGTCAAGTATTGACATTTCCTGAGTCAGAGGGATGAGGTGAATTTGGGCACAAATAGTTTGGAAACTAAATTTCTATGGAGACAAATGGCTTGGAAGCAAATACTGGTTTAACTCTTGCGTTATTAAAAAAGGTAACTGAGGAATTTCAGTTAATAATTCAGGACGAGTTGCATAACAACTCTAGGTACCAAACGAGTGACTAGACCCATGGAAAATGACCCAAAAACTGAGGCACATCCTCATGCTAGCATCAGTGTCAGAAGTGTATCTCTCACACTCCCCATTCCAGATCACGTCGCCTTTGCTGAATATTGTGGAAACTGCGTGTCCGGAATGAGTGTTCCAGTGAGGCACAAATACTATTTTATTCTGTGTGAAAGCTGCAGATGAGTCAGTGAGAAGCAAGGATGAAGCAGAATTTTAAAGCCATCCAGTATAGTTCTGCTATCCCTACATTACCAGTGCAATATGAGGTCCCTGAAGACCGGAAGTTTTCAAAAACCTCAAGAAAGGCAAAAAAAAATCCTTTATCATAAACAACTGAATATCTTAGAATTTTTTGCTTGAACATGCAGGCATTCTGTTCTGAGAAATCATCTCTGCCTCAACTGGCAGATGTGTGAGAAAGTCCAGATTTGAACCCAAGATCTCCTGGGTGTGAGATCATCATCCATTTTTTTTATACTACCGTAGGACCTTGCAGAAGGTCATTTTGTGAGACATGTGGGGCTTTGTCTACCCCCTGCTAATGCAGCACAATGACTGTTTTTATTATTTTTCCTGGACGAGAGTATGAAGGACGTTGGTGGCAGTTCCCTTGAGTTTTTCAACATGGGCTGCATGAACAATGACCAGAGAGTTACCTGGACCATACAAATTGTTTTGTTGTATTATCCATCAAACGCCTTATGGGCATGGAAATGCTGAACTGAAATTATGGGCTCTAACAACAAAATACACAATATCCTTTTAACTGGCTAAAGGAGATTTCGGAATATATTTAGATCACAGAACTAGGCATTTGTGAAATTGTATTTCTCGAATTTGAGCTGAACTATTGTACTGTATACTGATATTTGAGATTCTATTTGTATAGGGTTTATGTTTTACAACTGAACTGAAAGGCTTCTGTGATACTTTAGATATGAATTTCATCCTAAAATAAAAAAGACAGGCAGACTCATTCAATCACCTCAATGACAGCCACCAATAATGTACAGTAGAACCATTTTCTGAAGGGGACTGAGGTAAGTTTGTTAGCTGAGCTTTTCCAGGTAATCCCTCAGGGAAGCTAAACCACCTATGTCTGTGACCCTTGACCAACTGCAACTCAGTCTGGCTGAACATTAAATTCACAGGCACTTTACAAGGCTGACAGCAGCCAGTAATACTGATGCTCAGCTTAGCTTTCAACAGGTAATTAACATGCATTATACCTTACTGCAGTTGTATTCATTCTTGTGCTGGAGTGCCTCTATGTCTGTTGGTGTATGTTCCAAGACTATTTTATTCTGTGTGAAAGCTGCACAGAATAAAAGCTGCCCTAATCACTAGTGATAATTGCTGCCAGTAACTGATCTCCTTCCTTGTTTAGTCTGTTTTTGTATTCATGACTTGGCAAGTGCCAAGATCATAAATCTTTCATATACCTTTCATTAAATGAATAGACGCAGGTGTGAATCTGCCTGTTTGTAACCTGACCGGCTAACTTGCATAGAATTTAGGGCTTCAGTCTAGAGCAGTGATGGGTAACAAGTAGACTATAGTCTACCAAATGTAATTTGGTGCAAAGAACATCAGTTTTGTATTACACTTGTAGTGTAATACACTACAGAGCACTATTACACAGAGAACTAAAACAGTGTGGTCATCCAGAAAACAATTACAGCCTACCCCTGGGCAATGTGCTACTATGAGACAAATACCAACAGGACAAAGAGCCTTTAATCTCTGATTGATTCTAACGTTCTAAGCAAATTCAACCTGGATTTAAAATTACTGTATAAAAAACACTGTGGTCTGAACCTTATGAATGGAGTCAATGAAACTAAAGAGCTCTATTTTAACCGGCCAGCTCACATGAATGCCTCTATTTGATGCTATTTCAAATACAGCTCTTTGGCACAATAAAGCTTAATCTCATCCCCCCAGCCCTGAAATTGATTCTGCCTCTTGTGGCTGCTGGAGAAAAAAACAACTTTCTGCTAGACCCTTCTTGAATTAGACATTCAGGGAGACAAGACTGTTATTTAGAAAAGCCTTTGTAGAGGGAACAGGGGTTAAGTGGACACCACTGTTCTGTCAATATTAGCTTTTGGGCCTCCCTGGTATTGCGTGCCTGCTGTACTTTATGTTTTACACTGTGTGATCTGCCTCATGCTGCTTGGTTCTAGATGTCTTTTATGTCTTGCTCACAATATGAGAACAAGCTGTGGCTGACTGAGGCCCAGAAGATCATGTTGAAGATGGAATGAATACTGTTTTTTGGCCTAGTGAAAGACCCTTCACATTGGGAAGGACTCACAGCAGCCTTGTATTAAGGGAAATGAGCCACTGGCGACACAGGCATCCAATGAATGAAAGTTAATTTTTTACTTTTTAAGTAAGGGGCAGAGCAGTGGATCTGTGGCTAAGGATCTGCACCCGTGGCTGGAAGGTTGCTGGTTCTAATCCCGCAGCTGGCAGAGGAATCCTACTCTGTTGGGCCCCTGAGCAAGGCCCTTAACCCCAACTGCTCTAGGGGTGCTGTACAATGGCTGACCCTATGCTCTGACCCCAAGCTCCTCTCCCTGTCTGTGTGTCTCATGGAGACCAAGCTGGGGTGTGTGAAAAGATGAATTCCTAATGCAAGAAGTTGTACAGTATATGGCTAATAAAGTGATCTTATCTAAGCATGTTGCTTGTTGTGGCCTTAGGCTATGTTGGTGATGTGAGCAGGGCTTTGCTAAAACCTTTAGATGCAGGCTGACAGACATCAGTAAGAATGTTTTAGAGTTGATATAGAAATAGCGATCAAGAATGGAAAGTGCAATGACCTGCATACATTTGAAAACATTTATTTTCCGCCTTTTTTCTATCACCCCATTGTGTCTCGTTTGTCCATTGTTTTACTGAGTCGTAATACCAAAGAAAACTACTGCCACGCCTCACGTGCAGCTGAAAGGAGAGGTAAGTAAAATGCCCCATGCTTACCAGAGAAGGAGTTTCTTTTTTATATATAATGCAGTAAATGGGATGTCTGTGTTACCATCTCCACGTTTTTCACCTCTTGATATTTCTTCTTAGTCGAGCAAGTCCATATTTACAGAATATTCTCCCTAGGGCTGAACTTTTCACATTGGAGTTTATTCATCTTGATCCATTATGTTACTTTCTACATTCAGTATTTATTGGTTTTAGTACTGAGGACATAAACATATGCCTCATCAGGAGCATTAGGAGACAGAGGAGGTATTTATGATAACTAATGTTTCTTTAAAAGATTTGCTCCTGGCAGAAGATTGGGTCATTAGAACTAGATATCTGGAGATCGTAGGCTTTGACTTCAAGTCTTACCCTCCTCTGACTGGAACTAATCAAGCCTGGACTCTGAGGATTTGTTTGTGTACACATGGCAGGGGATCTATGAAAGTTACACCAGTCTTAGACCTGGCAGAAAAGAGGAAAAAATACAGAGTGTAACATGCCAGTGGAGAAACTGCTGTAGAAAAGGAGAAGTATAGAATTTGTGAGTGGAATGCAGTTAATTTAATTCATTTTCAGGATTTAAGAGAGAATTAACATATACAATAGGTTAGAAAGCAGTGGAAGATAAATACTTTTGTCCACCCTTTTCAGTTGCACATAGTTCTATGATCCAAAGAACCTCCTCAGCATACTTCTTGAATAGTCATCAGAGAATGAGCCTTTCTGGAACTGTGAGGTACAGTATAGTATTTCATTCAGAATGTACAATAGTTTGTGTGAAGAAATGCATCCTATGGAGATTAATGTCATAAAAATAGGTGATAGATCAACTTCATGTATATGGAAGTGACTCCACAGAGGTATGACCCCTCTATCTCTGCCCAGTCAGCAATGAAGAATTTGCTCACACAGTTTGCCATTCACAGAGAAAGCTATACATTATTTATCCTTGTTTTTCAAAGAGTTCC